GCCCTGCCTGTGCCCCGACTGCCCAGCTATTGGCCGTTCAGCTTTGTAGTAGCCCAGTCGGGTGTCTTAGGCAGGCAAGGTGAAACAGCAACACATCTTTACCTAGTTAAAGAAATGCAGCTCAACAAATACAACACATCTTTACACTGAGACTTCATGGTCTCGGTAGCCCAGGCTGGCCCTGGCTTCTCTATGCAGCTGAAGCTGGCCTTGAACCCCTGATCCTCCTGCTTCCCACTCCTCAGTGCTGGGACTTCCTATGTGCCAACCTCCCTAGCACTTTGCCACCAAGAAGACCAAGTCCAGTATTTATTTATTTACTGAAGCAGGGTTTCAGTATGTAGCCCTGACGGACATTTCCTCTGTGCACCTCCACCGCCCTGTCCCGTCGATGTAATTTTTCTTTCTGTTTATGGCTGTTTGCCATGAGCGTTGCGTGCATGCAGAAGCCTGTGGAGGCCGGAAGAGGACACAGAAGGCCCTCCCTGGAACTAGAGTTTCAGAACGTTGTGAGCTGCCCTGTGGGTGCTGGGAATTGAACCCCGAGCCTCTGGAAAAGGAGGCAGCCCTCTTAACCATTGCCCCATCTCTCCAGCCCTTGGCTTTCACACACACACATACACACACACACACACACACACACACACACACACACACACACACACACACACATTTGTTGTTGTTTGTTTGCTTGTTTCTTTTGAAAGGTTTCTCTGTGAAGCCCTGGCTGTCCCTGTCCTGGATCTCACTCTGTAGCCCAGGCTGGCCTCGAACTCACAGAGATCCGCTTGCCTCTGCCTCCCGAGTGCTGGGGTTTAAGGCGTGTGCCACCACCGCCCAGCCCCATTCCTTCCTTGTTTACAGCTGGGGAAACTGAGGTACACAACTGCCCCAGGCAGATGTTGTCACTCATTTCATTCATGTGCCTCAGACCTCTTGTACAGTAGATCAATATATGTCCTTGAGAGTAACTGCCCACCCCTGTCACCCAGCACTCCGGAGGTGAAGGCGGGGATCAGGAGTTCAGGGCCATCCTCAGCTACATGGTGAGTTTGAGGTCAGCCTGGGACATTAGATGCTATATAAATGAATAAATAAATTGGATGTTCCTTTTGTTAACCCCGCTCCCTCCGTCCACGTTTCCGGGTACCTTCAATGACAGTTTTTCCTGTGCCTGAGCCCCCAAGGCTCCCTGTTCTTTGGAAGGGAGTATGACCCTGGTGTCGTACTCCAGGTGGTGAAGACATCCGCCTGGTTAGTACAGAGGACTCAGGCGTGAAGAAGGGGCCTCAGCAGCAGCCACACACTGGGTGCCATTGGAGGCTGCATAGTGAGCGGGTGATGGAGGATGGGACAGGAACTGCCACTAGCGGAGCAGCTCTGGGGAAGGCTGGCAAGGACTGATGAAAGCCGGGCGGCGGTGGCCTTCAATCCCGGCACTCGGGAGGCAGAGGCAGGCGGATCTCTGTGAGTTCGAGGCCAGCCTGGGCTACAGAGTGAGTTCCAGGACAGGCTCCAAAACTACACAGGGAAACCCTGTCTCGAGAAAAAAAAAACAAAAAAAAAACCAAAAAACAAAAAAAGAAGGACTGGTTAAGTAAGCCTGGTTAAGGAGAACCAGAAAGGAGAGGGCTTTGAGCAGAAACCGGGGGAGCCTAGAGAGAGAAGTGGAGATGTGTGTGTGTGTGTGTGTGTGTGTGTATGTGTGTGTGTGTGTGTGTGTGTGTGTGTGTGTGTGTGTGTGTGTGTGTGTGATGGATGCATGGATAGGTGGATAGATGGGAGACATGAGTGGGTGATGGGGGGATGGATGGGTGAGTGGATGGACAGATGGGTGGATGGATGGATGGACAGATGGGTGGATGGACAGATGGGTGGGTGGACAGATGGATCTGAATGTTGAGGAAGGCCTCGTGTGGCTGAACCATTTCCTGGGTGTGAAATGGCTCTTCCCTCTTGCTGTGTGGCTGGGCTGCAGAAGTGGGTGTGTGAATCTGTGTGCCATGCTATGGTGGATGGTCAGTGTCCCAGACCACCATCCCCCTCTCCCCAAAGCTGCCGATCGTGGCCTCCTCCATTGTGTCCTTGTACTTCCTGGAGCTGACCGACCTGTTCAAGCCGGCCAAGGTGGGCTTCCAGTGTTACGACCGCTCGCTGTCCATGCCCTACGTGGAGACGAACGAGGAGCTGATCCCCCTGCTCATGCTGCTGAGTCTGGCCTTCGCCGCACCTGCGGCCTCCGTGAGTAGCCTGGGCCAGGGCCCCAGGTGCTTGGGTCCCTCCCTGTGCCCCCGCCTGACCTGCCTGTTCCTGGGGGGGGGCACAGATCATGGTCGGCGAAGGCATGGTCTACTGCCTACAGTCCCGGCTGTGGGGCCGCAGCCCAGGGGGCGCAGAGGGCAGCATCAACGCGGGCGGCTGCAACTTCAGCTCCTTCCTCAGGCGCACAGTGCGCTTTGTAGGTGAGTGACTGTGGGGCTCCCTGATCCTGCCTTAATGTCCATTCGTGGGGGGGGGGGGGCGTGACGGAGTGGACAGGCTTCCGGGGGAGCACCCCTCCCCGCTGCCCCCTCCCCCTGGCCTGGTCCTCTCGCCCTCAGGTGTGCACGTGTTTGGCCTGTGTGCCACGGCTCTGGTGACGGACGTCATCCAGCTGGCCACCGGCTACCACACGCCCTTCTTCCTAACCGTCTGCAAACCCAATTACACTCTGCTGGGCACTTCCTGTGAGGCCAACCCTTACATCACACAGGACATCTGTTCTGGCCACGACGCTCACGCCATCCTGTCGGCACGGTGAGCCGGACGCCGAGCCCTGCAGGGGGCCGGTCGCTCTGCCTGCTCTGGTGACCTTGGGGAAGCAGGCTGCCTGCCCCCAGGCCAGCGGGGCTGACTCGGTGCCTCTTGCAGGAAGACCTTCCCGTCTCAGCACGCCACCCTGTCTGCCTTTGCTGCCGTCTACGTCTCGGTGAGTGGCGGCCCCCAGCGCTGTTCCCTGTGCCCATCTGTGGGCGCTAGCTACGACCTGACCCTGCCTCCCTGTTGGCCCAGATGTACTTCAATTCGGTCATCTCGGACACCACGAAGCTGCTGAAGCCCATCCTCGTGTTCGCTTTTGCCATTGCCGCCGGGGTCTGCGGCCTCACGCAGATCACCCAGTACCGAAGCCATCCTGTGGACGTCTATGCCGGCTTTCTTATTGGCGCTGGGATCGCTGCCTACCTGGTGAGGGCTCGCGAGGAGGAGGTCTGCGGCAGGAGGCTGGCCGGTCACCAGTGGGATTTGAGCAGGGAGGCTGAGTGGCGAGGGTTTCCGGTAGTGGCCTGGGGTCTGCGGGAAGAAGGCTCCTCCCACTGATCCTGCACGTTCCCATCAGCCATAGGACGCCGGCGCCTCCCTGTGGCCTGCAGGCGCCACCACTGGTGGACAGCAGGCCTCACCAGTCCTTATCATCCCCAGGCCTGCCATGCGGTGGGCAACTTCCGGGCACCAGCTGCAGAGAAGGTGCCCACGCCGGCTCCTGCCAAGGACGCCCTGCGAGCGCTGACGCAGCGGGGCCACGAGTCCATGTATCAGCAGAACAAGGCTGTCAGCACGGACGAGCTGGGCCCTCCGGGGAGGCTAGAGGGTGTGCCGCGGCCCGTGGCGCGGGACAAGACATCTCTCGGCAGCCTGAAGCGAGCCAGCGTGGATGTGGACCTGCTGGCCCCACGCAGCCCCATGGGCAAGGAGGGTATGGTCACCTTCAGCAACACACTGCCCCGTGTCAACACGCCCTCGCTGGATGACCCCGCGCGGCGTCACATGACCATCCACGTGCCCCTCGATGCCTCCCGTTCCAAGCAGCTCATCAGTGAGTGGAAGCAGAAATCACTGGAAGGCCGCGGCCTGGGACTGCCCGATGAGGGTAGCCCTGTGCACCTGCGGGCCCCGGCAGAGCCCATGGCAGAGGAGGAGGAGGAGGAGGAAGAGGAGGAGGAAGAAGAGGAAGAGGAGGAGGAGGAGGAAGGACCCGTACCACCTTCACTCTACCCCACTGTCCAGGCTCGGCCAGGGCTGGGGCCCCGAGTCATCCTGCCTCCAAGGCCCGGGCCCCAGCCCCTTGTGCACATCCCAGAGGAAGGAGTGCAGCCTGCAGCTGGCCTGTCCCCCAAGAGCAGCTCATCAGTGCGGGCCAAGTGGCTGTCCATGGCTGAGAAGGGCGGGGCCCCAGTGGCTCCGTCACAGCCACGGGTGGCCAACCCACCCAGGCTACTGCAGGTCATCGCCATGTCCAAGGCGGCGGGGGGCCCCAAGGCTGAGACAGCCTCATCATCTAGCGCCAGCTCCGACTCTTCACAGTACCGCTCCCCATCAGACCGTGACTCTGCCAGCATCGTCACCATCGATGCTCACGCACCCCACCACCCTGTCGTGCACCTGTCTGCGGGAGGCACGCCCTGGGAGTGGAAGGCCAAGGTGGTGGAGGGTGATGGCTCCTATGAGCTGGGGGAACTGGCGCCCCGCGGCTTCCGAAGCAGCTGCAAACAGCCTGGCATGGGCCCGGGGTCCCCAGTCAGCGACGTGGACCAGGAGGAGCCCCGCTTTGGAGCTGTGGCCACTGTCAACCTGGCCACTGGGGAGGGTCTGCCCCCACCAGGTGCAGGCGATGGGGCCATGGGCGCAGGCAGCCGTGAATCCACCCTAAGGCGCCAGGTGGGTGGGCTGGGGGAACGGGAAGTGGAGGCCGAGGCCGAGTGTTACTACAGGAGAATGCAGGCCCGCAGGTACCAGGACTAAGCCTGGCAGACCTGATAGGGTGAAGAGGGCTGGGAGCATCTACAGCGCCAATAAAAAGGTCGATTGTGACAATATCCTGTGGTCTGAATGGTCCTTAACCCAGTGGGAAGACACATGCTGAGGCCGGGTCCTCACAGGAGCCCTGTCCTTCTGCTGTGAACTGATCCCCAAGATCCCATGCCAAGCCCTCCAGTCCCCAGTGCCCAATGACAGGCAGAGGCGCAAGACACAGGCATTTATTGAGTCCAGGCCCAGCCCGGCCGTACCTCTACAGCTCAGAATGAAGGGCTCAGGGAAGGCACAGGTTAGAAAACTCCTTTAATGGAAACTCCCCCAACACACCATCGTGGGCGGGGTGGAATGTGGCCAGGGTTGGCCCCGGGACAATACTGAACCTGTAGTTGTTACCAAAATATACATCTGTCACCATAAAAAAAACTGCCGCACCGCCTCAGCCCCACAGGTATAAAAATCATAAATATTTACACTCTTGACGCTCCTTCACAGAACCAAGGTCCAGGGAACCCCTCCCACAGAGACAGGCTAGGCACAATGGGGGCATTTGGGAGGGGCGTTAAGGCCTAGAGGTCAGCCCCTCACCCGGGCCTAGTCAGAGGCGGGCAGAAAAGAAAACTTTGGTCCAAAATTGGAAGGTAGGAGCCCACTGGTCTCAGAGCTGTTTACCCCAGGCAGAGGCAGCACTGGCTTGGGCTCCACCTGCAAGTTGGTCACCGGGAAGGAGGGGACGAGCGCAGGGACATAGAAGCTTCGAGTACACACATACCATTGTATCATTGCTATAAAAAGTTACTTAAAACTATATCTCTTGCATATAAATGGAAAAAGATTCGGGTATTTGGTCAAGTGGAAATATTGCTAGGCACAGGTGTCTGCGACCACACAGAATAGAATACAAAGGTCACATGAGGCTCGGCAGCTAAGGATGGCCTGGGCCCCCTGGGCTGGCCAGGGACATGGGAGAATCATGTCACTTGATTATAAGGGTGGGGGCGGTGGCCGCAGCTCCTGCCCAGCATAGGGAGTCTGTGGTGCAGGCTGCTGGTACACCTGCAGGTCTAGAGACAGACTGGTGGCCTGAGAGGATGGGTGTGCGGCCACAAGGCGGGCTGGTTTGTAAGGCACGAGAAAGCGGCTGTGTCGGGGCACAGCTGTGGCCTCACGCCTGGGCCCCTCAAGGCGTGGTGCTGGGCCTGACTGGGCCTCTGTGGCCCAAGCCATTTCCTGCCACACCAAGGTGGACTAGATTTAATTTTTTTAAAAACAGGTAAACTCATCTCTCTTTAAAAAAATAAAATCTCTGGTCTGTAAGGTCACTTCAGCTGCTTCTTAAAGTGGCTTTTTCTCTGGAATGGTGGAAGCTGTCGCCGGCCCTCAGGCATCTAGATGGTGGACTTTGAGAAGGACACACGCAGGTGGTGGTTCTCGCCCAGGTCATGGTTGTGCAGCTCAATCAGCGCCTGCACCGCCTCCTCCACAGAGCCCATCTGGATCAGTGCCATCTTGCGGTCCTTCCTGCAGGGGTGGGTGCGGGGTGGTCAGAGGGGCTGGGGCAGGCCAAGGGCAGAGGGCAGAGGGCAGGACTGTACTTACTGGAAGAACTTGAAGCCTTTGACCACACCACCATTGCTGGAGAAGAGGCTCTTGAGGTCGTCCTCTGACACGGAGGGCCTACGGAGAGACAGGAGGCATGTGGCTGGGGCCCACACATCCTGGGCCCCCTGGGGGGACGACACAGCAGACACAAGGACCGGGAGCCCGTTAGGGCTCACAAACGCCTGACGAACTCACGGGATATTAGAAAGGTGGAGAGTGGCTGAGGGCGGGAAGATGTTCTGGAAGTTCTTGGAGCCCGGCTTCTTGAAGCGATGCAGCGGTGAGCTCCCGTAGTCCTTGGTCAGGCCCTGGTCTTCCTGTCCCTCGCGAGGCAGCTGTACACTCTGATGCTTTGACAGTGTGATGCGCACTGACTTCCCGTGCAGCTTGTGCCCATTCAGGTGGCTCATGGCTGGGCAGAGGGTGTGAAACACATGAGCAGCAGGGCCCCATGCTCGCCTGCCTCCCCCCAGGTAGAGTCAAAGGCAGTGTAGGCCCGTGCCCTCCAGTGGCGCTCACCCAGCTGGGCCTGGCTGCCATCCGCCATCTGTACAAGAGCATTCTCCTTCTTGTTGAACAGAATCTTCACCCGCTGCACATCACCGTAGACGCCTTTGAAACCCAGGACAGGGTCTGAGACGCCTGGCCTCCTCACCTCTCCCTCCCACCCACTGCCCACCCCGCGCACCCCACGCTCCCGGCAGGCCAGGTTTGTTTAGTGGGCGCCGGGAGCCCGTGTCTCCCAGCCCAAGGCCTGCTAACGGGCGCTGCGCTCGGCAGTCTCGGGACTCCAGACAGCTGTCAGAGCAGCCATGGACAACATGCTACTGACACGCTTGGCCCTGGAAGCATGCAGGGTGGTAACCATGCGTGTCTACTCAGTACAATCCGCAAACCGGAAACAAACCACGGACCCAGGCAGAAGGCCAAACACAAACTCAATAGTACATCGCAGGGTGTAAAATAACCAAATAAATGAAACCAAGGTAATAAAAGTGAGAATAACATACCGAAGAGAATAAAGAGGCTTTGGGGTGTGACTCTCTTTAGAGACAGCAGAGGAAGGCAGCAGGGGACAGGGAGAGGGAGAGGTCAAGGGGGCGAGTGCCAATCGTCCACGAGGAAGACAGTCCCCGCAGGCGAGCAGTTCATGATGATGGAGTTGTCAGGATGTTAATATTCAAGGGCAGGTTGGTTTCCGGAGAGCGGGTTTGAGAGGGGAGTTTGTTTTTATTGATTTATGTTTTGTTTGTTTCAAGCAACAACAGGAAGCAGAAGAACCGTGCAGTCAGTTGGCAAAGAAATTCCGGATCAGGCAAGAAAAAAAATGGGAGGGGAGGGAGGAAAGAAAAAAGTAGCAAAACACAGGTCAGTAAATACGTAGGAAAATGAGGCAGTGTTCCTTCCACACGCACTCTCGCACACGCACACACTTGGACACGTTCACGCATGTGAGAGAGGCACTGCCCGCAGGCTCGAGGACGTGGGCCAGCACTGCGGCGGCCGAGACTAAGGCAAGGAGCGGAGCCTGGTAGTTCCCAGGCGGCGGACGTGGAGCTCAGGACAGCTGCGGCAGTCAACTGGCTGGAGCAGGCCGGCCTGAGAGCCACAGGAGCCAGAGCGCAGCCTGAGGCCCGGCCACGCACAGCCGGGTCCTGCAAAAGCGATCTGGGCCTCCAGGGCCACCTGGGCTCCATCTACCGAGCTCCAGCCAGAGACAAGCTGGCTGGCCTTGGCCTGAGCCACCTCCCTTCTAGCCGGCACTCCCAGGCCGCCTTGCTGTGCCCCAAATTAACTCAGACTGCCTTGTGCAGCAAGGAAAACACCCCGGCTGAGCACCGAGGGCCTGAGGGCCGGGGTGTGAATGGAGCTGAGAGGAAAACAGAAAACCTCAGAGCGGCTGGGAAGGAGCGGAGGCCAACAGCAGCAGACAGAGGGGCGGCACGCCGGTGCCCGCGGCGCCTGGGACACCCCGAGCCCCTGCCTGCCATCCAGCGCGCCCACCAGGACCTGTCTGTAGTCAGTCAGCACCCCACCACTATTCCAGGGACAGGCAGAGCAGAGCAACACCCACATACCTCAGGGTTCAGGTTGCTGACCAGGAGGACGGAATTCCCGGTACCCGCCAGGCCTGGGATGGCAATGCGGCCAGCTGCAGCAGCTGCAGCCGCAGAAGGTATGGCCAGGGGGGCCAGCGCTCCGTGGACGTTAGGAACAGAGAGGCCTGCAAGGGAAGGTAGTGTGGATGTGAACCTGGAGGGCTGTGCCAAGAGGGGGCAGGCACGCAGCCTCTTCTCGCACACGGCCACAAGGTGTCGCCTGGCTGTGGCCTGCACAGAGGCCACACACACCGCCTGACACCGCGGCCAGTCTGGGTGTGTTCCGACTGCATGCGCCCGACAGCACAAAAGCTCTGATTGACACGGGCCCTCTGCAAGCAGGGCCTGCCAGACACGCCCGCTGTGCACGCATGCGGCGCCCATTCCTCCATGCAGGCCCGGGCGGCACGCGGAGGCCGAGGCCCATGCTCCTCAGCCCTGGAGGCCACTTGCTTACCAGGCCATTAAATTCAATCTACTAGGGACACTGCGTCCTCGTCCTCGCCCAAGGTGCTTGAAGGGAACCAGACCAAAGACTGCGTGATTAGTGGCTTGGTGCTACTGCCGACACAGGGCACCTGGCCCAGCCTCGCCTGAGACTACCCTGCCCTAGCTGCCTGTGGACGCTGCCAGAGGCCCCTTCCCCTCTCCCCGGAAGGGGGCCCGGACCTGACACTGGGGCCAGAGCCTCCCGGTCTATGGGCAGCTATGGGGCTGTGGGCATGCAGGCGCCGGGGTCAGGATGAGCGTGAATACCTGCGGCCTGCGGGATGGCAAAGGTGGGAGGGAACCCGGCTCCTGCATACGGAGAGGCTGACATAATGCCGGGCGCACCTAGAAACAAACAGACACTAATCACTGCACCTCACCTCACGGCTGGGCCGGGCCGGGCCGGGCACACTGCTGAGGGGCTGGGCTGGGCAGTGCCAGGGCGCCGGGGAGCCTGACAGAGCTAGGTGGCCTGTCCCACCCCGCTGACTTGGTACTTGTCAGCACAGCGTCTTACCGAAGGCTGCGGCCATGGTCTGGTCCAGCGAGGGCTGGCTGTCCCCGGAGGGCAGGTCGGGGCGCGTGTAGTCCCGGCTCTTGTCGTTGTTGTACTTGACGTTGAGACTGGTGAGCTTCGAGAAGTCGATGCGCAGCGTGCAGCAGGCGTTGTAGATGTTCTGGCCGTCCAGCGACTGTGGGAGACAGAGGTGAGTGCGGGCCAGGCAGAGAGGACTGCCCACCCCAGAAGTCCTACTCACCAGCTTGGCATGCTGGGCGCTCACAGGGTCAGCATACTGCAGCAGCGCCTGGAACTGGTTATTCTTGGTGAATGTGATGATCTTCAGAACTGTACCGAACTTAGAGAAGATCTGCAACAGAGACACGTGTGTGAGCTCCAGCTGTGTGTGGGCACATGGGGACCCACCCAGCTGGGGCGGGGCAGGGCATGCACCCACTCACCTGGTGCAGCACGTCCAGGGTCACTGGGTAGAAGAGGTTCTCCACGATGATCCTGAGCACTGGGCTCTGGCCCGCCATTGCCATTCCCGCATCCACAGCAGCAGCAGAGGCCGCCAAAGCCAGGTTTCCAGACTGCACAGAGTTAACGGCCTGCAGGGCTGCCTGGGCACGCTGTGGAGGAACCATCATGAGCTATGACCCAGGGCTGAGGCAAGGAGCCAGGCCACCCGCCCGCCCGCCCACCCTGCAGACGCACTGCCTGGTTGGGTGAGCTGTCAGTTTTGAGCTCCTTGTGGTTAGAGAACTGGATGTAGATGGGCTGTCCACGGAGCACGGGGGCCACCGACGTGTAGTAGTTGACCATGGTGTTGGCAGCCTCCTCGGTGTTCATTTCAATGAAGGCCTGGTTCTTCCCCTTCAGCATAAGGAGGTTGGTGACCTTCCCAAAGGGCAGCCCCAGGGAGATGACCTCGCCCTCAGTGACGTCACTGGGCAGCTTGCGCACGTGGATGACTCTGGAGGGGACGCCCGTGCTCCTGTTGTCCCCTTTGAACTTCTTGCTGTCATTCCCATTAGCTGAAAAAGGGACAGGGCACATCTGGGAGACTGCAAGGCCCCCCCACCCCCGTTTCCTGCCTCTGGCAGGGTCTTGCTCTCTCCCACCCCTCCCGTTCCCAAGCCAGGCTTCCGCAGGGCACAAGCACTCCTCGATAGAGAAAGCACCCCCTGGGCAGATATCTATCTCACCTGCTGAGGCCGAGCTGCTCATGATGAAGGGGCCGTTGCTGACACAGGTGGAGAAGAGCTCGTCGGATCCCCGCTGAGAAGAGAGCATGGGTGGACCCTCAGCTCCGGCTGGCCCACCCCTTTCCTACCTTTCCCTTTCATTACACAGAGGCCCCAGGGACTTCACACTGCCCACGCCTGCCTGACCTTCTGTGCTCACTACCAGCAACAGCCTTCACTGGTCACTGGGGCCTGTGCCAGCAGCCATGTGGGAGGCCCCGCCTGGCGGGTCGTCTGCCCAGAGTGCACAGCTGCCAGCCTCGCGGTACCCTCCTGGCAGAGCTGTTGGCAGCTTCCGGAGAAACAAAGCCCAGCCTTGCTGCTACCCCAGCCCCGCTGTCCTGGCTACACTCCAGGACAAGGGACCGTGGCTGTACCTGGTGAGTAGGACCATCCAGTGATGGAAGCCACTCACTGGGGAACCCCCAAGCTGACCTACAGTGGGGGATCCCTTCTCGCCAGAAGCAAGAAAGAAGCAATTTGTTTGCTGATTAGTTTGGCTGAGCCATCCCGAGAAGCACGGGAGACCTAGACTCAGGACAGCAAGAACCCACAGACCAGAGCTCCCTCCCGAGGGTAGAGCTCCCTGGTCATCTATTCCGAGCTAGCCGCAGACCCTGAAGAAGCTGAACACCCAGGGACTCTGGGGACCACCACCTCGTCCACGTCTCGTTCCATCTTCATCAACAAGGAACAGCCTAACTATCTCCCCAGGAAACTTCCTCACTGCCCAATCCAGCATCATCAAGGGCACTGTCCTTCACCTTCCAACAACACTTGCACTGACCCTGATAATGAAGGCCCAGGGCTCTGAGTAAACAGGTCTAGAGACCAGAGGCCAGCACCCGCCATGCTCACCCCTCTCTCTTTGGAGAGAACTTCAAGCCCCTCATGACTGCACCCACCTGAAGCCTGCATCAGAAAGTGTGGCCACACTAATGTCTTAGGAGCAAGGGCTGCAGAGGGACTTAGACCTGCCCAGCCTGGGAGGCAAGACCCTGACATGCAAAGCCCAGAACCCTCATATCCACATCTGAGCTGCAGGAAGTCACTTCCTGTTGGCAGCCAGTCTCCCATGAGGTCCCTCAGGCTGACCCTAGTGGGAGGGTGGCTTCCGTCTGGACTGGGCGGGAGGAGCAGCACTTCCTGCAGCTCTGTTCCTGGCAGGCTGCCGGGCCATAAGTCTCCCCACAGAGGCTCAGAAGCCCAAGACTGTCAGAGGAAACTCCCGCCACCTGGGCCAATAGCCCCAAGCCGCTAGGCAGACAAAGGCACGCAAGAACGCGGCACAGGGAAGCCACTGGTCAGCCAGGCCTGGTCTCTTTCTCCACCCAGAGCTCCCTGCTCCTAACTTGTCCAGTATGCCCTCTGTGGCTAGCTGGAATTAAGTATTGTGACGACAAGTAGCTGAGGCAATCCAGGTTAACAGCACCTTCACCCAGACATAAGCTGTCACCTGCAGGCCTGTACTTTAAGAGGGCCTCCGTCCCCCCACCTCAGAACACACAAGTTTATCTGAGGGAAGATCAGCAGGCAGGTGGAGACAGCATCCACTCAGGAAAGAATGAAACTAGTCCAGACAGCAGCCTGGTAGCAAATCAGGGGCCGTGGCTGAGGTGGCCCTTGGGGACTCACCTGCAGGGCCTTTTGAGGGGAGGAAACTACTGCCACCCACTACACCTTAACAGGCCAGTCTAAATAGCCCATCCGACAGAGCAAGACCAGTCCTGACACCGACCGTAGCTGTCACTTCAAAGGGCAGGACCCGCGAAGCCCTTCTCGCTCCAGGCCCAACCCTCCGAGTGCCAGTGGAGCTAGAGTATGCTCTTGTCTCCCCAGCTACTTGGGGAAGCTGAGGCGGGGCATTTGAGCCCAGGGTTGAGACCTGCCCGGCCAGCGGAGGCTCAACTGCCAATCTTCACCTCAGAACATGCCGTAGACTTCCAAACCAAACCCACGTGGGCACCGTCAACTGAGTGCCCACGTCAGGAACACTTCTTAGATGAAGGCAGAAGAACCACCAGTCACAGGAAAGGGTCCTAGGCCCCGGGTCACTCGCGTGGCAAGTGTGTGTGCACCTGTGCCATCCTCTGCCTACTGGTCTCTGTGGACTGGACGAGCGCCCACCGCCCTGCAGCAGGCACGTCTAGCTTTGACTACAGCAGGGCTGGGTGCAATGCCAAGCAAGAGCCACCTACCTTTGTACCGACTGCTATGTCTGGGACGATGCTGCGGAGAGAAAGAGAGATGTCAGCACTGGGGCTGCAGGGCCCTCTGCCGTGAACCACCCATTGAATCTCAACTTGAAAGGTGGCCACCATTGTCCTCGGAGCCCTCCCTCCTTCCATGCAGGACCCTGGTCCCGAATTCAAACACATCTAGAGGTCCACTTTCTACAACGTCTACAGTGATCTCGGTCCACTACTCAACTCCCGGGCATCCTACAATGCTGGGAGCCGGGAAAGCAGGTAAAGGCAGTAGCCAAGGGCAGTGCTTCCCGAGTGGGGGGGCAGGGAGCTCCAGGGCCAGGCTGCTGGTGGCAAAGTGGCCTTGTTACCATTTACAAAGCAACAGAGCTGCCTGGATACACCCCGGGTTACTGATCAACCCCAGCCCCTCGTGACTGCGCTCTGCTCACCTGCTGCACCTAGCCTGCCTAACAGGCAGCAGCAAGCCCGCCATGGCTGGCCGGGTTCCCAGGCCAGGAAGTGGCGGCCGGGTTGTGTGTGTGACACTGACCCTTGGTGGGCACCTCTCTGCTTTATTTCATGTCTTCCAAAATTCTGGGACAGTTTCTGTACAAAGTCCTGGCTGACCTGGAACTCACAGCGACCTGCCTGTCTCTGCCAGGATTAAAGGTGTGCACCACCACGCCCGGCTCAAAGATCCCTCGTCAGTTGCTAAAAGGCTGCATCTGAAGGCTCTTCCTGTCATTTCAGCACTCAGAAGGCTGTAGCGGGAGGACCGCAACAGGTTCACGCTCAAGGCTGGAGGCCAGGCCTACGTATTTTATAGGGCCGATCCTTAAAGGCTAAGGTGGGAGCACCCCAACGAGTTTCCGGAAGAGTCGGGATTACTGACGCACGCCTCGAATCCCAGCACTCGGGAGGCAGAGGCGGGCGGGTCTCTGAGCTGGAGGCCAGCCCGGGCTGCAGCGAGACCCTGTCTCCAAAACAAACCCCAAACTACAAACAAAAAGTGGCCGAGTGCAGTGGCAGCTCCCGGAAGCGAGCAGGAGGCCCGGACGCCAGGCCGGCGCCCGCCTTGGCCACCGACCCGAACCCGGCCCTCGGCCCTCGGCCGGGGTCTCCGGAGCCGCCCCCCGCCCCGCCACCTCCCCTCCCCACAAGGCGGGCTGGGCGCGCGCCCTCAGGGGGGGCCCACGCACGCATGCACGCGCTACGCGGCGCGCGCCCTCACCACGCACGCGCACGAGGCGCCGTACGGGGAGCGCGAAGGCACATTATTCCTCGGGCACGCGGAGAGCCGGCACCGACCGGAGGACGGGAAGCGGGAAGGGCCACGGCGCCGGCCCCCTTTCGGGGGAGCGCGTCTCACCGGGGGAGCGCGCGTGCACGCGGAGGGCGGGGAGGGGGCGCCGGGCCCCTCCGGATGAAGCGCGCGGGCACCGGAAGTGCGCCGGGCGAGAGGGTTAAAGGGGCGCCGCGGTATGGGTGCGGCCACCCTAAACCGGCCGGGTTCCTCGCTGGCCTCCGGCGCCTGGGGTTCCGAGCGCGCCATGCGGACGGAGGCCACGCACGCGCGCCGCGGCGGTTGGCGGGGCCGGCGGGGGACGGAAAGACCCCGGGAGCGGCAGCCAAGCCTGGGGTGCGGCGCCGAGAGTGGCGGGCGAGGGGCGCGGCACGACTCACCCGTCCATGGCACACAGAGCAGACCCGCGGGGGACGGAGTGGAGGCGCAGGAATAGCAGGAACCGACCCAACGGCTCCGAGTTATAGACTCACAAGATGGCGGAGACGCCCGCACACGTCCCCCGCGCGCGCTACTCATTGGCTCCCGCCGCGGCCTGTGGGCGTGGCGAGCCCGCCCTGCCCCCGCCAACGCCTCCCATTGGCCCGGGAGCGACTTCAAGGGCGGAACCCGGACAGACCGCAGGCGCCTATTGGGCGAAACTTCCGTCAGTCAAGGCGGAAGACGGAAACTACCGGTGGGGGAGGGGGAGGGCGTGAGGGAGTAGGAGAACGTGATAGCATCTGAGCCAATAAGTGAGCCTTCGGCCGGCCTGTGCGGAGCCATCTTGAGAGTGGGTACGTGGCGGGTCAGATGCAGAGAAGCGTGCTAGCGGGAGGTTGCCGCCATGGTGCAAGCGGGCAATGGAAGCTGACGACGGCCTTCAACGTGAGGGCCAAGCGAGGTGCGTCGCCATCTTGAAACCGGGCAGGAATCGCTTTACCGCCCCAGTTTGCTTGTAGTCACGTGACCAAAACTTCGCCTTTAAGCCGAGTTTCTCCTGGACTGGAGAGCAGGGAGACGGAGGCCACGTGCTTCGCAGACGCAGTCCCGACTTGATTGTGCATCATTCCTTGCCGTCTTTTGTCTACCTCAAAGCAGCCAAGCGCCACCTCTGTTGCAAAAATGGAGAAACTGATAAAACGGGCCGTAGTGTGGCCGGCTCTGCCTATAGTTGGGGAAACCGAGGCCACAAAGCGCCCAGCTGCCTGCCCCACAGTTAGGCTCAGAAGCAAACACAATCCAGTGGAGGAACAGGACCTCGCCTTCCTGTGCCTCCACCCCGGAACGACACTCCAAACGGACACCCCAGGAGCCAGGAGTCTGCATTCCAGCCCTGCCGGGAGGGGGTGGGTGCTGGGAGCCGGACGGGTTCTCCGGAGCCTAGCGCAGACTGCAGACAGATTCTGGGCATGCCTTTGATGTGGCTCCCAAAGACGCAAATTACTCGGATTCTCGTTGGCCTGGTTATCTGCTAAAAAAGCCCAGGGACGGGGAAAGGGTCTCCTTTGCCTCTCACAGAGGTGAGCCCAGCACCCGGCCTCCCTTTTCTGTAGTCCTGGGCGCTGCGGGTGAGGGGGGTAGGCCTGGCAGCCAGGCTGGTTCCTTGCAGGCCTGGCCCAGGGCCCAACAGCCTTGGAGCCCCAACGCGGGCCTGGTGCCAGAGGATTCCAGCATGGATTAGGGGCGGCTGCCGATTCCACGGAGGCCCCGCCGGGAGAGGCCTTTCAGGCTCCAGCCAGCCCGCAGAGCAGTGAAGGCCCAGAATCACTAATCAGGACCGTCCCGCGGATTTAGAAGCCTCACGACGAGGCGGAGGATTTGAGCCCTCTGGGACTCCCATCAGGTCCATCAGGGCCAAGGTTGACTGCCAGGCTTTGTTCCCTGGGTGGCTGGTGCCAAGCGTGGGCCCCACCCTCAGAAGCCAACCTGCATGGGTGGCTGCCCATGAGTGGATGGGCAAAGGTGGAGACTGCTGGTCTCCAAGCACAGGTCTGCACTGGCAGAGTTTATGGAAAGCTACTTCGGAGCCCTCCCAGAACTCTTGAAATGGCCTTGTTCACCTTCCTGTCTGGTTTCTGATCAGACCTCTAAATACTCAACAAAGATTCTCTAACCTGCCTGACTTCCTTTCAAGCCCTGCCTCAGGGCCTTTGCACAGCAGTTCCCTGGGCCAGGTTGACTGAAGCCCCAGCTGACTCCCTCCCTCAAATCATTCCTCAGGGCCTTGGTACCAGCATTCAGGAAAACAGTGTCCCCTGACCTCTGAAACAGGCAGGACCCGCACTGCAGAGATCCAGCCTTAGGTAGAGAGTAAGCCACAGAGACAGGAGGAGGCGGGTCCTAGGGGAGCCTATGTGTGAGGACATCCAGTGCAAGTCTTCCTTAACTGCAGCAGTGGCCAGCAAGCCAGGTGAGGAGAGTTGAGGGTGGGCTGGGCTGGCCCCAAGTAGGAGGCCTGCAGAGCAGAGAGGAACAGAGTAAGGAACACTGCTGGGCGGGGAGTGGGGCACGCCTTTAATCCCAGCACTCAGGAGGCAGAGGCAGGAGGATCTCTGTGAGTTCAAGGCCAGCCTGGGCTACAGAGTGAGATCCAGGACAGCCAGGGCTACACAGAGAAACCCTGTCTCGAAAAACCAAGAAAAAGTAAGGGACACTGGGGAGACACTGCTAGTTCAAGACCCGTCTGTAGTACAGAGTGGTTGGTTTTTGTTTTGTGTTTCCGAGACAGGGTTCTCTCTGTGCAGCCCTGGCTGTCCTGGATCTCACTCTGTGGACCAGGCTGGCCTCAAACTCACTGAGATCTCCATACTTCTGCCTCCCGAGGGCTGTCTCAGGCTGGCCTCAAGCTTGCAGTGATCCTCCTGTTTCAGGTTCCTGAGTGACAGGTCTAGGCCAGTACACCCAGCCAGAGTGAGTTCAAGACCAGGTCTGGCAACTTAGTGAAGAGGGCTGGAGGCCTGGTTCAGAGGTGGAGCCCCGCCTAGAATCCCCCAGTGAGGGCTGGGGGCGTGGTCAGGGTGGAGCCCCGCCTAGAATCCCCAGTGAGGGTCTGGGGGCGTGATCAGGGTGGAGCCCCGCCCAGAATCCCCAGTGAGGGGCTGGGGGCGTGGTCAGGGTGAAGCCCCGCCCAGAATCCCCCCAGACAGGGGCTGGGGGCGTGGTCAGGGTGGAGCCCCGCCCAGAATCCCCAGTGAGGGGCTGGGGGCGTGGTCAGGGTGGAGCCCCGCCCAGAATCCCCCAGTGAGGGCTGGGGGCGTGGTCAGGGTGGAGCCCCGCCTAGAATCCCCCAGTGAGGGCTGGGGGCGTGGTCAGGGTGGAGCCCCGCCCAGAATCCCCCAGCGTTGATGGGGCTGGGGATGTGGCTCAGCGGTAGGACCTTGGCCTGGCATACAATAGGCCTTGGGTTTCATTCCCGTTGCTGTCAAAGCTTTTTTAAAAATTAATAGTTTCGTGTTGCTGGTGTAATGCAGTCCCTACACCGGCCTGCTTCTAACCTCACAGATGTGAGCCCTGCATCTGGAGCCCAGAAGTATGAGACCAGGCTCTGTAGGAAATGTCTTTCCTGCCTCTCCTGGCCTCTGGAGTCGCCTCATCCTTGTTCTATACTAAGTCCCACCTGGATAATTTCCGACTGTCTTGGGACCCTGAATTGTCTGAACACCCCCACCCAACCAGACCAGCCTTTACTACTGATTCATAGCCCCAGCCCCAGGCCATACTCGTGGGCTCTGGGGATCAAGACATGGATATAGTTTGCGGAGGTCACCTCTGGTCACGATAAGCCATCTTAAGCTGCTGAAGGTTGTGAATGGCCTTTCATCCTTGCAAAAGAGCCTGGCTTGGGGAACCTCCACCCCGGGTCACCAGAGCCTTAGATGTCCTCCTCCTCAGGCGGGGATGGCTCAGTGACCGGCCATTTTACCGTGTCTCTGTCCTTGTGCAGAACATCTGTTAGGGAAGATACCCCAGGCTCTGTATTATTTATTTATCCTGACTTGGTGCCCGGCCTGCCCAGCGCCCACCCCAGCCTTGCCAGCTGCTGTCTTCATGAATGATTGAGGCGAGGAGAGACGCTCACCTGGCCTTTGTCTGAGAGGCACACTAGCCTGCTTGTTACCAGGGAAAGTGATACTCCCCTGCAGGAGGAGATGGAGGCCAGGGTGAGGGGCCCTCAGAGCCAGTGCCAAGCGAAACTCTCAGAACAGCACAGGAGGACAGGGACGAGCCTCAGTTTACTCCTCTGTTCAAAAGAAAGCAAGGCCAGCGTCTCCACCAGAGGAAGTTTTTATGCTTGTTATTTCTTGTTTCCTGTTTGTTTGCCTTGCTGGGGATGGAGACCAGGGCTTCAAACCTGCTAGCCAGGAGCTCCACCCCTGGGCCACACTCACCCTGCCTGTCACTGAGGGTTTCTAGTGAGAGCCTTGACCACTGAGACCCTCCTGTCTCAGCCTCTCAGAAACCTGATGTGACTAGCCTGGACCACCGTACCCAGCCGCTGGTGTGTGAATTATAAGTATTTCTTTTCTTTTTAAACACAATGTGTTTAGCTGGGCACGGTGGCACAGATCTCTGTGACTTCTAGACTAGCCTGGTCTGCATGGGGAGCTCCAGGTCAGCCAGGACTACTCAGACTCTCAAAAAAAAAAAAAAATTTTTTTAAATTATATGTACATGGGTGTTTCACCCACATAGATGTCTCTGTAACATGTGTCTGTTGCCAGAGGAGGCCAGAAGAGAACGCTGGATCCCCTGGACAGCAGTTACAGATGTGAGTCTCTGCAAGAGCAGCCAGTGTTCTAACCACTGGGCCATCCCTCCAGCCCTTGTAAATAGTTGGGTGTTTTTTTTGGTTTTTGTTTTGTTTTGTTTTTTTGGTTTTTCGAGACAGGGTTTCTCTGTGTAGCTTTGCGCCTTTTCCTGGAACTCACTTGGTAGCCCAGGCTGGCCTCGAACTCAGAGATCCGCCTGGCTCTGCCTCCTGAGTTCTGGGAGTAAAGGCGTGCGCCACCGCTGCCATCGCCACAGGCTGTTTCCCAGATTTCTATTGAACAATTTAGTACAGGGTCAGGGAGTCTGGGTCTGGGGAGAGCCACTGAAGGGAAGTTACCTCAGGGCTCCAGGAAAGGGTGCTGGTAACCAAGCCAAGTCTGAGTTCAGTCCCTGGGTTGCAGGGGTCGCAGGGGTGGAAGGAGGAACCTGCTCCCACAGGCTGACTCTGCCCACCACTGGCCCAAGAGAAACACAAAATAGATGCTTGTAAAAACAATACTTTTCTTTTTAAGAGAAGATTCAGGAAGCGGTAAGGGGGCTTCTCAGAACTTCCAGGCCTCCTCCGCACCTCTGCCAACCCCTACTGTCCACCAGTGACAGCAAAGAGTCCTTTCCTAACTGTCCATGACCTGTTTAGGATTCTCCACCCTTGTGTCACCCACCCACCCCACCCCACCCCCAGGCCAGCAGGAAAGGCCACCCTGCCCCTGCCCCTCCCGGTAAGATTCAAGATTGTATCTCCCAGACTCTAGAACTACAGCCAACCATCGAAGCAGGAGAAACTGGTCAGCTTCACCAGGGACATCCAGAAACTGCAGCCAATCCTCTGGCACCTTGGCCATCCCTGGCACACGGGATCTGAAGCAGCCGTGGTGGTTACCTTTGGGGGGACAAGCAGGCTTCCCAGTGTGGCCCCCTAGGTAACTGGGCGTGTGTGTCCAGGAGTCAGCAGGACCACGAAGATGCACAGTGGACCCACAGTTCAGCCCTTCCTCCCCAGGAGTGCACACAGTCCCGAGCTGGAGCGAGGCTCTCACACCACAGCATCGAAGGACCTGGAGGACAGTGAGTCGAGTGAGAGACCCAGACACAAAAGACCACACACACAGTGTGGGGCTCCATGACAGGAAATGTCCAGACAGAGGGATCCAGAGAAGGAAGTGGATTCACGGACGGACGCTGGTGCTAGGGTGGGGGTGGGGGACTGCTCATGGCAACAGTTTCCTTTGCAGAGATGAATGTTCTATGTACAGGATGGCTGTCCCAACACTGGTCTCTCCCTGTCTAACGCACCTCCGTTCTCAAGAAGAGAATATCTTACATTTCTAACAGGTGACTGGTTGAGTTCTGATAAAACTTTTTTTTCTTTTTAATATTTACAACCACCAAGATGGCTGAACAGGCAAAACTGCTTGTCTCACAAGCCAGATGACCTGAGTCTGGTCCTGGAATCCCCGTGAGGGTGGGAGGAGAGAACTCACTCCTGCGTTTCTCCCCTGACCACCATGGCATGTCTGTCACCTGTACTTACACGTCACACAAACACATCAACAAACATCTTTCCAGCCCCACTGGAAAAAAAATACTTTTGGATTTTTGTTGTTTGTGGTTTTTTTTTTTGGTTTTTCGAGACAGGGTTTCTCTGTGTAGCTTTGCGCCCTTCCTGGAACTCACTTGGTAGCCCAGGCTGGCCTCGAACTCACAGAGATCTGCCTGGCTCTGCCTCCCGAGTGCTGGGATTAAAGGCGTGCGCCACCACCGCCCGACTGTTTGTGTTTTGAGACAGTATATCTCTACCTAGCCCTGGCTGTCCTAGAACGCACTCTGTAGATCAGGCCGGCCTTGAACTCACAGGAATCCTGCTGCCTCTGCCTCTGAGTGCTGGGATTAAAGGCATGCTTGCGGCCACCGCTGCCGCCACCTCCGCCGCCGCCCTCCAGCCCGGGTTGTCTTTTTTAAGTTACATTTACTTATTTTTGGGTAAGGACACATGTGCCATGGTGCATGTGTGGCGGTCACAGAACAGCTTACAGGGTCATTTCTCTCCTTCTGCCATGTGCATCACGGGAATTGAACCCGGGATGTCAGGCTTCATGGCAAGTGCCTTTACTCACTGAGGTACCTTGATTTGCCTGGGTGAGTTTAGTTTTGTCTGTCCACATCCCTGGCAGCCAGGGCCCTGGGAATGGGTCATTCTGTGGGAAACAGGGTCTCAGCAGAGGTAGGTGGAGGCCATGAGTGTAGGGGGTAGAGCAGCAACAGGGTTCATAGAAGAGGTCAGTTAGGGCTGGGGCTCAGGTGGACAGTGCTCACCTGGCATGCTCGGAGCCCTGGGTTCTATCCCCACCGATGAACCCAGCTGGGTGGTACAACCTGTCACTCCAAAGCTGGGGAGATGGAGGCAGGAGGATCAGGAGTTCAGAGTCATCCTCAGCTACATTTACGGCTAGCCTGGGCTACACAAGACTCTGACTCCACAGAGAGAGAGACATTCAGGCACACTGCCCTGTACTGACTGCCACAGAAACCAGGTTGGTGAGTGAGGCCCCTCGGAGGGCCCCTTGGAGGTCCTGGAGTGGGAATGGACAGAAAGGGCTCCTCCTGGACCCTGGGCATGATGCAGCCCTGCACTTGCCCGGAGGCTCCCATCCTGGGGCCCTCCACTATTGAGCCACAGTGTGTTTTTCTGAGCAGCCCAGGCTGTTCAGGTCACCACAGTGCAGGCTGTTGAGCATCCAGGACGGCGGGTGGAGCGGGGCCAAGCGTTCCTGGGGCTCCGTGCAGTCATGGAGACGGGGATAGCAATGGCCCTGTCGGCAGGCTTGCCTCTGAGGCCTTGCAAAATTTATTAAAAGGGAGATGTCTAGATAAGACAGTGAACCTGAGCCAGGCTGGAAATGATCCAGCCTGCCTCTTCCCTGCCTCCTGGTTGTAGGATCATGGGTCGGGAGCATCCGGGGACCCACAGAGCCCTCCAGCTGATAGTTCCAGGATGAATTTTTGGGGACCATCCCTCATGTGGGCCTCTGTTCTAGACCTTCATTTTTATAATCAGCAAGTGTAAAGGATGTGCTGTTTTTTGTTTTTTGTTTTGGTTTTGAGATAGGGTCCCCAATAGTCCCGGCTGGCCTCAAGTTCACGGTATAGTCCAGGATGAGCTTAAACTCCTGATCCCCCTGCCTCCACATCCCGGGTGTACACCACAGTGCAGGTCTATACGGTGCTGGGGATGGACCTCAGGGCTTCATGAATGCTAGTGAGCTCTCAGCCCACTGAGCCCAACCCCAGTCCCGGCCCAAGACATCTTGTTCTGTTTTGTTTTTTGAGGGTTTTTTGTTTGTTTGTTTGTTTGTTTTTCGAGACAGGGTTTCTCTGTGTAGCTTTGCGCCTTTCCTGGAACTCACTCTGTAGCCCAGGCTGTCCTTGAACTCACAGAGATCCACCTGGCTCTGCCTCCCCAGTGCTGGGATTAAAGGTGTGCGCCACCACTGCCCGGCTCTAAGACATCTTTTTTTTTTCTTTTCTATTATCAGCTTGATACAGTATAAATTCTTATCCTAATTGTGAAATATTTCATGGAGGCTTGCCCAGTGATTGAGTCAAACCAAAACTTAGTATAAGCCACAGTCATTCTAGGGTCCCCCCATGCTATATAGCCTCCCTGGTTCTGTGGGTTGCAGTCTGATTTTTCTTTGCTTTATACCTAGAATCCACTTATGAGTGAGTACACACCATGTTTGTCCTTCTGGGTTTGGGTTACCTCACTCAGGATGATATTTTCTAGTTCCATCCATTTGCCTGCAAATTTCATGCTGTCATTGTTTTTCTCTGCAGAGCAGTACTACTCCATTGTGTCTATGTACCACCTTTTCATAATCCGATCTTCGGTTGACGGGCAACTAGGTTGTTTCCAGGTTCTGGCTATGGCAGATAGTGCTGCTATGAACATAGTTGAGCATGTATCTTTGTGGTATGTATCTTTGAGCGTTCCTTGGGTATTTGCCCAAGAATGGTGTGGCTGGGTCTTGAGGTAGATCTATTCCCAATTTTCTGAGATACCACCATACTGATTTCCACGGCGATTGTACAAGTTTGCATCCCCACCGGCGGTGGAGGAGGAGTGTTCCCTTTGCTCCGCATCCTCTCCAACATTGACATTGGAGTAAGGTGGTATCTCAGAGTCGTCTGGATTTGCATTTCTCTGATGATGACGGATGTTGAGCATTTCTAAGACATCTTCTTAGTGTAAAGAGAATAAAAGAAGGCACTGAGGATGGGTCTTCCCTAGGAAGACTCGGGTTTCATCTCTGGCACCGAAACTGAGAGGAAACAGAAGCAAAGCGTGCGGTCCAGCAATCCCAACAGCACAGGGAAGGCTTCTCATCCACAGGTGAGCCATCCCCAGGGATGATGTCTGGAGATATGAATGTTCACAATTGGGCCAGGAGTAGCAGGGCTACCTAGAGAGACCCTGTCTCAAAAAAAATATATATATATATATATATAAAAAACACATGATCTGGCCCTGTGTCCACAGCCCCAGTAGGAAACCCTGCACAGTAGTGTACTTAATACTACAGTGTCAGTGCCGGGCAGCGGTGCCGGGCGGTGGTGGTGCCGGGCGGCGGTGGCACACGCCTTTAGTCGTCTGCATTGGGAGACAGAAGCAGGTGGATCTCTGAGATCCAGGCCAGCCTGGGCTACACAGATAAACCTTGTCTCGAAAAAACAAAAAGGAAAAACAAAACAAAGCAAAACAAAACCCCACCAAACCTACAGTGTGAGTAGCTGGGGTGTGATGATGTCTGTCATCCCAGCACTGGGAAGGGAAGGAAGGGCTGGTTATAATTTCAGATCAGCCTGGCCTACACAGGGAGACCCTGTCCTGGAAAACTGGGGCAAAGCCAAACTGCTCCCTGATACTGAGCCCCGGTAGTTCCCATGTGTCACAGACTTGGAATGTCATTACCTCTGGGAGGTACAGGTGGGTCCCATGGGGCTCTAGGACCAAAGAGTCGGCAGGCAGCCCTGGCTGTTGTCTATCCCTGTCCCAACACTGGCCACCCCCTCCCCAGGGTTTTATCAAGGGTGAGGCAGGAAACTGGAGATGGAAATCTCACAGTGTGTGGGGTGATCTTTGCAGCATCGATAATTCATAGTGGGCACCCAACACTCGATCTTGGTCCCAGCTCAGGTGGCTTTCTGCCTGGTGATGGACACTGTTACAGCCAGCCCAGGGGACAAGCCGTGTGTGACCAATCAGAACTGCTAGGTGAGCACCACATGGCCTCGTGTGGAGAGGAAAAAGCACACCATTGTGAAGAGTCCACACTTGCTTTCTTCTTTCTTTCTTTCTTTTTATTTTTTGGACAGGGTGTCGTGTAGCCCAGGCTGGTCTCAAACTCACTATGTGGCAAAGGATGACCTTGAATCTTAACTCTCCTGCCTCCGCCTCCAGAGTGCTGGGACAAGGTTTAGCTAGCAGGCCCGTTTGTTACTTTTTCTTTCAAAGGGCATTTTAAATGTACAATCGTTGGTTTATTTGGTGTGTGTCTGGGTGCACAGGCAGTGGGCACGCTCGGACATCCGAGGACAACTGACGGCTGTGGGCTCTCCCCTTCCACGGTGTCAGTTTCTCCGGTCAGCAGCCTCAGGGGCAGCCAGACCTCACCCAGTGACGCCGCTGGCCTGACCCTGTTTCTTTGGGACAGTGTTTCACCCTGCAGCTCAGACTGGATTTTTACTCTTTTTTTTTTTTTAATTATTAATTCTTTTGGGGGGGGTTCCAGACAGGGTTTCTCTGTGTAACAGTCCTGGCTGTCCTGGAACTCGCTCTGTAGCCCAGGCTGGCCTTGAACTCACAGAGATCCGCCTGCCTCTGCCTCTCAAGAGCTGGGATTAAAGGCGTGCGCCACCACCGCCTGGCTATTTTTAATATTTTTTCATATACTCTATTTTGATCATGTTTTTCCCATCTCCCCACTCCTCCTAGACCCTCTCCACTTCCCTATACACCCAACTTTATGGTTTTTTTTCTTTCTTAAAAAAAAAAAGTCAAGTATCAAGTGGTAATTCACACCACCTTTAATCCCAGCACTCAGGAGGCAGAGGCAGGCGGATCCATGTGAGTTTGAGGCCAACCTGGTCTACAGAGTAAGATCCAGGACAGGCGCAAAACTACATAGAGAAACCCTGTCCCAAACAAACAAACTATATATATATATATATACAACCTGCTCAGTCTGTTTTGGTGTGTTCAGTGGGTTCGGAGCTGACCACTCTGTATGGACACCCTGGGAGAGGCTACCTCTCCCCCCACCCCCCGCAGTCACTCCTTTCCTGCAGCTCCTTGTCCAGGGGTGGGAACCTCACGAAGTTTTTCTGTGTTAGCATGTCCGTTGCTATTGCCATTGTTCCCACCTTGTTTATGCAGCCTTTTCTAGGACAGACTGTTTCACAGCGGACTTCCTGGTATTCTGGCTCCCACAATCTTTGTACCCCATCTTCCGGTGTGTCTACCTCGATGTTGGAGCCGGGATACCCTCTACATTGTGTTCAGCTGTCATTTTATTTGATGGTCTCCATTTGCTGTAATGAGTGTCCCCCCTCCCCCAGACAGGGTTTCTCTGTGTAGCCCTGACTGTCCTGGAACTCGCTCTGTGGACCAGGCTGGCCTTGAACTCACAGAGGTCCACCTGCCTCTGCCTCTCCAGCGCTGAAATTAAAGGCGTGCGCCACCATGCTGAGAGAGTCTTCTTTGATGAGGGGTGCTGGCTACACTCACCTATAGGTACAAGGATAAGATTTAGAAGGTAGTTAAGAATTATGCTGGTCTAGCAAAGTGCTGGTAGTGGATTCTCTTCTAAGATGCATGATCTCACTGGCCTTGGGAAGCTGTCTGGGATTCCAGGGCCACGCCCGGTTTCCCCTCTTCTGGAGTGGCCCTTAGGTACAATTAGACAGCTGTGGGTTGCCACAGACATGTGGGTGCCACTTCCTGCACCTTTAAGGATATCATGCCGTGCTGGTCACTGTCGTGGTTCCTGTCTGTCTTGGCCAGGTGGGACTGCTTAATTGCTTCCCGAACTTGACAACTGACATAGCATTTTCTGGAACCATGGAAGCTAGGTTGCTGGAACAAAGCCTCCAGGGCAGATCCAGTTCAAACCGCCCGAATCCTTTGTCCTGAATGTGCAGTGTCTTCAGCAATATGGACTCACTTTTAACCTCTGACCCCTAGTCAGAGGCAAAGATCAACAGAACACTGGACCACACATGCTTGAGGAGATCCCGGAGGAAAAGGGTCCTCGTTCTCGGTTGGTGGGATTGCAAACTGCTGTAGCTAAGACAGAAATCAGTGCAGAAAAGTCTCAAAAAGCTAAAAATAAATCTCCCACAGGACCCACCCAGCTATACCACTCCTTGGCGTGTGCTCATAGGACTGAACGCCCCACTCACAGACACTTGCTCAGCCATCATTGCTGCGCAGTTCACAACGGCTAAGAAATGGAAACAACCTAAATGTCCTTCACCCAAAGAAAATGATAATGGAAACGTGGTACCTCTGCACTCTGGGATACTGTCTAGCTGTAAAGAAAAGCAAAGTCATGAGACTTGCAGGAAAATGGATGGAACTCAAAAGGATCACACTGAGTGAGGTCACCCAGACCCAGAAAGACAAACATCCAATGTTCTCTCTTATTGGTGGCTCAAATATTCAGATGTGAGTACACAGCCTGTAATAACGACAGAAACCGGGAAAATGGAAAAGGGGCCATGATTGGGGGGTGGGTCTTGGGATGGCAGGATTCAGATGCCATGAAAGGGGAAAAGTGAGGAACAAAATCATGGGGAGATGGCTCCAACGGGGGGTGGGGTGGGGTGTCAGTACGGGAGTCTGAGGGACAACACCAAGGTTGCTGGATAAAGTCGCAGTGAATTCAATTTTTTTTTACATTTATCTAAAATTATACACAGTACATACATCCATACATCTTAAAGGAAATTAACCAAACCCAGGACTGGTCACCGAGAAGCCGCCTTTCAGTACTTGGTCAGGGTCATCCAAGCGACTCTCAGAACAGCATAGACTATTGTGTTGAACAGTTCCACGCTGTGGCCGATGAGGGTTAAGAGCACTGGCTGCTCCTCCAGAGGACGTAGTTTGATGCCGGCACTAACATGGTAGCTCACAACTGTCTGTAAGTCGAGTCTCAGGGGATCCGTACCCTTGTCCGGTGTCTTCCAGGACCAGGGATGCCGGCGGGACACAGACATACCTGAAGACAAAACATCCATACACATAAAAATAATAAAAACATAAAACAGAGAGAACCGTGTTGAGAAAATCCTGCCTGCTCCCTCGACTTCTCTGTGGTCCCAACAGGGTTAAATTCCCCAGACTTTCTCCTAGAGAATTCTAGAATCGGCCTGTTGGGCGATCTGCCGCTGTTTTCTGAGCAGGCTCTTCTCTAAATCCAGATGAAAGAGTTCCCTGCTAGGAAAACAAACAACAGGACCTTTGGTATCACCTGCAAACCTGGGCCTCTGAGACGTTTGTGGAATCCAGAGAGGCGTCAGGAAAGGGCTGAGGAAAGGTACAGTTTAATTTTCAGTACTAGGGTCTCACCCCCCAAAGCACCCCTCAATCCTAGAATACTTTGTATTTAGGAGAGACGCTTTGAGAAGGATCTCAGGTAGCCCAGGATAGCCTTGAACTCCTGATCCTCGGCCTCCCTGTCCTGAGTTCTGAAATGATAGGTATGCACCAACAATGTTTTGAGAAAAGGTCCTATGTAGCCCAGCTGGCATTAAAATTTCAGCAATCCTCTTGCCTTAATCTCTAAAGTAGTGAGGTGACAAAGGGGAGCCACCCAGGCTGCAGAAATATACTTAAAAAAAAAAAATCACTGTTTTCAAAGGACATGCAAGCCTCTGGGCTCTTGTTCTCGGCAAGGTTTCCCTGAAGAAAAAGCCCATCCAGTACCCCAGGTCAGAGCCCAGACTGTCCTGAGGAGCAGCCGACCCGCCTAAGAAACAAAGGTTTTCCGGATCCGGAATCTGTTAATATTCCTGCCCTGTGTGTGTGTGCGTGTGTCTGTCTGTGTGGTGTGTGTGTGTGTTTGTGTGTGTCTGTGTGGTGTGTGTGTGTTTGTGTGTGTCTGTGTGGTGTGTCTGTCTGTGTGGTGTGTGTGTGCGTGTGTGTGTCTGTGTGGTGTGTGTGTGTTTGTGTGTGTGGTGTGTGTGTGTGTTTGTGTGTGTTGTGTCTGTCTGTCTGTGTGATGTGTGTGTTTTGTCTTCCCCAATTTGCAGCCAGCTGAACAAAAGGCCTTAAACCAGAGTAGTCCTGGAAGGCCGGGCTGGGGTGGGCTTGATAGTGTTTTCTAGCTCCTTGCAGAGACGGGGTGCGGCGTTGCTGGGGTCACGGTGACCTCTGTCCTGCAGGTCCAGGCCCCAGTCCTCGCACAGGGAGGAGCCACGCCCGCATTCCGCTCATTCCCCTCCCTCCGAACATTGTTTATTTGTTTGTTTTAAATTAGACTCAGGCAGGAATTCCTTTCTCTGTCTGGACTTGGCAGGAGCCTGGGGGATGGGGTGTGACGGGGTAGACTACCGCTGCAGCCAGGCAGGGGCACGGACATTCCAGCGGCAGATCCCTCCCACTTCCTCAGACTCACACAGCGGGTGATTTTCCTCCCCTCCTCTTTATATTATCATGAACCCAGGGTTCCTACTTGTTAGGCTAGATCTGAGGCCTGAGCGTCACCCCAGCCCCTCACTGGGGGATTCTGGGCGGGGCTCCACCCTGACCACGCCCCCAGCCCCTCACTGGAGGATTCTAGGCGGGGCTCCACCCTGACCACGCCCCAGCCCCTCACTGGGGGATTCTGGGCGGGGCTCCACCCTGACCACGCCCCCAGCCCCTCATTGAGGGATGGATTGTGGGCGGGGCTCCACCCTGACCACGCCCCCAGCCCCTCATTGAGGGATGGATTGTGGGCATGTATGGCTGTGTACCATATGCATCCGCGGAGTCCAGAAAAAGGTGTCGGATCCCCTGAACATGGAGTTACAGACAGTTGGAAACTTTCATGTGGATGCTGGGAATCAAACCAGGGGACAAGGTGGCTCCGAAGTGATTCCTGTCACCTTCAGGCCAAGTTGGAACCCAGTATCCCAGCACCAGGATATCCCTTCACTACCCACCCGCCTCAGCACAGCAATGGATCTGCTTGTTGGACCATGGAAGAAATTCCAGCAAGTCCAAGCAACGCAGACGCACGTCGCTGCCTTGGACTCTGAGGGCTGGAAAAACCTGCTGGGGATGTTTGCAGCCCAATTTTCAGAGTTCAGAGGTTTGGATGTGATTTCCATCTGTCACTGTCCTTAGGCATTTTCTACCTTGAGCTCTAGGGCAGGGATGGACGAGGCAGGCTTCCTGCTGCATTTGCTGCTTCTTCCTGGACAGGGTCTCAGGTAGCAAAGGCTGGCTCTTGGACATATAGCTGAGGATGGCCTTGAGCCTCTGATCCTCCTGCCTCTATTTCCCTGGGTTACAGAGCAAAACCTTGTTTCAAGACCAGAAACCTCATCATTATCAACAAAGAAACTGAAAGAAAGTCTAACTTCATTTCACTTTTTCCATCTTTTTTTAAAGGATTGCGTCTATTTATTTATTTTAATTTTTATTTATTTATTTTTATTCATCAGTGGTGTTTTCCTGCATGTTTGGTCATGTACCATGTGCATGCCTGGTGTCTGTGAAGGCCAAAAGAAGGTGTTGGAGTCCCCGGAACTGGAGTTACAGACTTCAGTTGTAAACTGCCATACAGGTGCTGGGAATCAAAGGAGTCCTCTGGAATAGCAGTCAGTTGTTCTTAACCCATGAGCCATCTCTCCAGCCCCTGTTCTTTAATTTATTTTTATTTGTATTGTTATTTATTTGCTTGTTTATGTTTTTTCGAGACAGGGTTTCTCTGTATAGCTCTGGCTGTCCTGGAACTTGCTTTGTAGACCAGGCTGGCCTCAAACTCACAGAGATCCGCCTACTTCTGCCCCCTGAGTGCTGAGAATAACACACACTCTCTCTGTCTCTTTCTTTCTTTCTTTCTATTTATTTATTTATTCATTTATTCATTTATTTATTTATTTATTTATTTATTTATTTATTTATTTATTTATTTATTTATTATGTATACAGCATGTATGACTGCAGGCCAGAAGAGAGCACCAGATCTTATTACGGATGGTTGTGAGCTGTCATGTGGTTGCTTGAACTCAGGACCTCTGGAAGAGCAGTCAGTGCTCTTAGCCTCTGAGCCATCTCTCCAGCCCCTCTTTCTTTCTTGAGACTGGAAGTAATGTACTCCAGGCTGGCCTTGAACTCCTGACAGCCCTCCTGCCTCAGCCTCCTGAGTACTGGAGGGCTGTGCACCTGCCATGCCCAGCTTGAAGGACACAGTGCTGAAACCCAGCTTAGCCAGGCTCTGACCTCCTGGTGTGGACAGTTCCCTGCAGCACCATTTACCACAAACTGCCCAGAAATTACCTGGGATGATGGGGCGGGGAGGGTCCCTGACCCAAGGATGTCACATGCTGGGGGTAGGGAAAGAACCTCATTCCACGCTACCACTGGCTTGGTAAGGCTGCAAACCGGAATGGACAGCATACCGATGGCAGCTTCCTGGCAGGAAAGGGGATTTGGGGACTTGCAATTATGGGTTTCATGCCAGACCAGTGGACTTCCTCAGAAAGGTCCAAATATGGCCCAGGGGCTGAACCTTCCAGAATCATCGTGACCATGCGGTCACTAAAGCCAAGAGCAATCGTCCAGAGAGCAGGGGTCTAATTTCGGCTCGGATGCTGCTGTGTCAGAGGACATCTGGCAATGGTGCCTCTTCTTCAGTGGATGCCTCAGAATTGTCTTTGTCATCCATGTGGAGAAGCTGATACTGTGGTTGGTGGCCAGTTCCCACAGATGACTCAGGCACTCAGCCTTTGCGTATGCAATTTATTTCTAATTAAAACATTTACTATCTTATTTTAAACAAGTTGCAAACGGCACTCGGGCAGAATGCTCTTGGCAGAGCATGATCAACAAAACTCAGGTGCGGTGTACACAAAAACCACTGAGGAATCAGTGGTGTGACTGTCCTCAGAGAGACGGGGACAGCGGCTCATGCCTGTCACTCAGCAGCCTCAGAAGGCTGAGGAGCAACAGATGGGAGTGTGGGGCTATCCTGGGCTACAGAGTTAGCTTAAAGCCTGTTTTAATTTCTGTGAAACTCTGTCTCAAAATAAAAGCTGTGGATGACCCAGAGCAAAGGGCACTCCCACACACCAATGTCCACAGGCTGATGTAGCCATGGCTTCTTTTTGTTTTGGATTTCCCACCACTCCACAGAAAGCCTGGGCCTCAGAAGTGGTGATCCCTGAGGTGGTCTGAATGTAATTGGCCCCCACAAGCTCACAGGGAGTGGCACTACTAGGAGCTGTGGCCTTGTTGGAGGAAATGTGTCACTGTGGTGGTGGGTTTGAGGTCTCATATATGCTCAAGCATGCCCAGTGTCTCAGACCACTTCCTGTTGTCTGAATATCAAGATATAAAACTCTCAGCTTTTCCAGCTCCACATCTGCCTGTGTACCGCCATGCTCCCGCCTGACGATAACGGACTAAACCTCTGAACTGTAAGTGAGCCATCTCAATTCAATGTTTTCCTTTGCAAGAGGTGCTACGGTGATGGTGTCGCTTCATAGCAACAGAAACCTTAACTAAGACAATCCCAAACCTGCAACACTCTGAAAAAGAGAAAGCTCCCTTCTGTCCCTGGAAAGGGTCCAGGCAGAAGGCACTGATACTACAAGATTCAAATGGCACCACCTGGGCATGTGGGAAGAAGACCCAGGCGGCAGACGGCAGAAAGAGAGGGCAAACGCGGCGTGTGAAGATCAGCTATCAATGAGCATTTATTATTTCCCTCTTTAAAAAATCTTATTATTTCTATTTATATGTATGAGCATTCGCCTGCATATAAATGTGCATCATGTATACGCATCTCCCACAGAGGCCAGAAGAGGCCATGGGACACTGGAACTGGAGTTGTAAATGGTTGTGGGCTATGTGGGTGCAGAAATCGAACCTGGGTCCCCTTCAAGAGCAGTATGTTCTCTCTTTTGTTGTAGTTTTGTTTTGTTTTTTTCCAGACAGGGTTTCTCTGTGCAGCCCTGGCTGTCCTGGAACTCCCCCTGTAGACCAGGCTGGCCTCGAACCCGGAGATCCATCTGTCCCTGCCTCCTGAGTGCCTAGACTAAAGATGTGCGCTATCACAGCCAGGCACAATAAATTCTCTTAACATCTGAGCCATCTCTACAGTCCCTAAGGGGAAGATTTAACTTTTGACATCCACGAAGTGGGAGCTGAGAGGGACAAGAGAAGAGGGATTTGTCACATGGTGCTGTAGGGTGCCCTTCCTGCTGTCTGGAACACAACAGGACTAGGGGCCACGAGACAAGAAAGAGAGAAGCAGGATATGATGGGAGGTGAGTGGGAAGGTGATGGAGGATGACAGAGGTAGATGGTGGGAGAATGGGGAAGGATGATGCAGGAGGATGATGGAGGACGGTGGAGGATGCTGAGGGATGGTGGAGGATGGTGGAGGATGATGGAGGATGGTGGAGGATGGTGGAGGACGGTGGAGGATGGTGGAGGATGGTGGAGGATGGTGGAGGATGGTGGAGGATGATGGAGGATGGTGGAAGATGGTGGAGGATGGTGGAGGATGATGGAGGATGGTGGAGGATGGTGGAGGATGGTGGAGGATGGTGGAGGACGGTGGAGGACGATGGAGGATGATGGAGGATGGTGGAGGATGCTGAGGGATGATGGAGGACGGTGGAGGATGGTGGAGGACGATGGAGGATGGTGGAGGATGATGGAGGATGATGGAGGATGGTGGAGGATGGTGGAGGATGGTGGAGGATGATGGAGGATGATGGAGGATGGTGGAGGAGGGTGGAGGATGGTGGAGGACGGTGGAGGATGGTGGAGGATGGTGGAGGAGGGTGGAGGATGGTGGAGGACGGTGGAGGACGGTGGAGGACGGTGGAGGACGGTGGAGGATGGTGAGGGATGATGGAGAATGGAGGAGGATGGTGGAGGACGGTGGAGGACGGTGGAGGACGGTGGAGGACGGTGGAGGAGGGTGGAGGATGGTGGAGGATGGTGGAGGATGGTGGAGGATGGTGGAGGATGGTGGAGGACGGTGGAGGATGGTGGAGGATGGTGAAGGATGGTGGAGGACGGTGGAGGACGGTGGAGGATGGTGGAGGATGGTGAGGGATGATGGAGGATGGTGGAGGATGATGGAGGATGGTGGAGGATGGTGGAGGACGGTGGAGGATGGTGGAGGACGGTGGAGGATGATGGAGGATGGTGGAGGATGGTGGAGGATGGTGAGGGATGATGGAGGATGGTGGAGGACGGTGGAGGACGGTGGAGGATGATGGAGGATGGTGGAGGATGGTGGAGGATGGTGAGGGATGATGGAGGATGGTGGAGGATGATGGAGGATGGTGGAGGATGGTGGAGGACGGTGGAGGATGGTGGAGGATGGTGGAGGACGGTGGAGGATGGTGGAGGATGGTGGAGGATGGTGAAGGATGGTGGAGGATGGTGGAGGATGGTGAAGGATGGTGGAGGACGGTGGAGGATGATGGAGGACGGTGGAAGATGGTGGAGGATGGTGGAGGATGGTGGAGGATAGTGGAGGATGGTGGAGGATGGTGGAGGACGGTGGAGGACGGTGGAGGACGGTGGAAGATGGTGGAGGATGGTGGAGGATGGTGGAGGATGGTGGAGGACGGTGGAGGACGGTGGAGGACGGTGGAGGAGGGTGGAGGAGGGTGGAGGACGGTGGAGGACGGTGGAGGACGGTGGAGGAGGGTGGAGGATGGTGACGGATGGTGGAGGATGGTGGAGGACGGTGGAGGACGGTGGAGGACGGTGGAGGATGGTGGAGGACGGTGGAGGACGGTGGAGGATGGTGGAGGATGGTGGAGAATGGTGGAGGATGATGGAGGATGGTGGAGGAGGGTGGAGGATGGTGGAGGATGCTGAGGGATGGTGGAGGATGGTGGAGGATGGGGGAGGATGGTGGAGGATGGTGGAGGACGGTGGAGGACGGTGGAGGACGGTGGAGGATGGTGGAGGAGGGTGGAGGATGGTGGAGGATGGTGGAGGACGGTGGAGGATGATGGAGGATGATGGAGGACGGTGGAGGATGATGGAGGATGGTGGAGGAGGGTGGAGGACGGTGGAGGATGATGGAGGATGATGGAGGATGATGGAGGACGGTGGAGGATGATGGAGGACGGTGGAGGACGGTGGAGGACGGTGGAGGATGGTGGAGGAGGGTGGAGGATGGGGGAGGATGGTGGAGGATGGTGGAGGACGGTGGAGGATGATGGAGGATGATGGAGGACGGTGGAGGATGATGGAGGATGGTGGAGGAGGGTGGAGGACGGTGGAGGATGGTGGAGGACGGTGGAGGACGATGGAGGATGGTGGAGGACGGTGGAGGACGGTGGAGGACGGTGGAGGATGGTGGAGGATGATGGAGGATGGTGGAGGATAGTGGAGGATGGTGGAGGATGGTGGAGGATGGTGGAGGATGATGGAGGATGGTGGAGGATGATGAAGGATGATGGAGGATAGTGGAGGATGATGGAGGATGGTGGAGGATGGTGGAGGATGATGGAGGATGGTGGAGGACGGTGGAGGACGGTGGAGGACGGTGGAGGACGGTGGAGGATGGTGGAGGATGGTGGAGGATGGTGGAGGATGATGGAGGATGGTGGAGGATGATGGAGGATGGTGGAGGATGATGGAGGATGGTGGAGGACGGTGGAGGACGGTGGAGGACGGTGGAGGACGGTGGAGGACGGTGGAGGACGGTGGAGGACGGTGGAGGACGGTGGAGGATGGTGAAGACCCGCCATCTCTTAGACCTCAGCTCTCTCTGTCTCCTCTGAATCCTGACCACCGGTGTGTCTGTGTGTCCGTCCTGATGACCTTCTGTCCCATTGCTGAACGGCACTCCTCCGGCTCCGAGGTCTCTGGTGTTAGTAAAGTCCTCTTTTTGGGTCCCTTTGTTGCAGGAAACTCATGCAGGTGAACCATGGAGTTAGACTGTAACTGGCTGTCTTTGGGATAGTTGTCGACTTTAAACCTGGGTTTGGGGATTTAGCTATTCGTGCTGTGGATGACCCTGGATTTCTTACCCTCCGGCCTCCTCCACCTCCCAAGGGCTGTGGTGACAGTCTGGTTTGTGGTGTGGGGGATGGAGGCTAGGGTAGGTGAGAGCTCAGCTCACCCAGCTAAGGCATTAATGCAGTGTGTGTGCGTGTGTGTGTGTGTGTGTGTGTGTGTGTGTGTGTGTGTGTGTGGAGGCAAGGTTTCACTGTGTAGCTGAGGCTAGTCTTGAATTTACTGCAATACCTCAGCCTCTTGAGTTTTGGCTTTAGAGATGTATGCCATTGTATCTGACTTAATTTTTTTTTTACAGTTGCTGGGCCTGGTGGTGCACGCCTTTAACCCCAGCATTCTTTAATCCCAGCATTCGGGAGGCGGAGGCAGGCGGATCTCCGCGAGTTCAAGGCCAGCCTGGTCTACAGAGTGAGATCCAGGACAGCCAGGGCTACACAGAGAAACCCTGTCTCAACCTCCCCTTGACACAAAACAAAACAAAACGGAGAAACGGGGCAGGGGAGATGGCTCACAGTTACGAGCACTGGCTGCTCTGGCTTCAATTCCCCACAGGACGAAAAGAAAACTAAAATTCAAGAACAGCAAAAATCAGGCAGGCAGGGCGGCTGAGCAGGAGTGGCGACTGCTGCGCAAGCCGGACCTGGGTCCCACCCGAGGACCGTGTCAGGGCCGAGGCAGAAGGCACACTCCACAGAAGCACCCTCCGACCGCCACGTCGACCCGCCGCGCACGCCAACCCATAATAAAAACAAATACACAGAACTCGGCCGATCCGAAGAAACCTCCGTGCACACCCTGCACGCACGCACGCACGCACCACGCACGCCCGCTCTCCCTCATCCTCCCCTCCCCGACGGCCCCGGCCGCTGCTGGTGCTCTGCCTCCCTCTAGTGGCCGTGTGCAAACGCTGTTCCGAACCCGGGGGTCCTGCACTTACCCTGCTCCAGAGGCCCCGCATTAATTCTGCGCCGACTGTGTGCCCGGTGCAGGGTCACCACCACCCCATCCCCCCCGCGCAACACACCCCGAGGGTGGAGCGTAGTCACCGCTCCTCGCAGAGAAGGAAACTGAGTCTGGGAGGAAGCAGTCAGTTGTGGGGGGCAGGGTTGGGACAGGAAGTGGGAGGGCCGTATCCAGCTCAGCCTGAAGCCGAGTTTACTTTAACTTTTTGGTCACAAGAACCAGTAAATCCTGGTTTTGCCAAAGCCAGTTTTGAGTTGTTGTGGCTGCGTCGTCTTTTTCTTTCAAAAGACCTCTGGCTGTTTGTTCCCACAACCAACTTCCGTCCTCACGCATCTGGTCCAGCCACTGATTGGCTCTGTGACGCTGAGGGAATTTCACAACCTCTCTGATCTCCTGAGCCCACTTGGGACATACTTCACACGGCCAGGGTTTCACCTAAGGCTGTGGTGCAATATTATATTAACTAGGCAAAGATGTTACATTTGTTTATGTCCTAGAATATTACTTTAACTGTGTAGAGGTGTGTTACATTTGTTTATGCTGGCCAGGCGGTGGTGGCGCACGCCTTTTATCACAACATTTGGGAGGCAGAGGCAGGCGGATCTCTGGGAGTTTGAGGCCAGCCTGGTCTACAGAGTGAGATCCAGGACAGGCTCCAAAACTACACAGAGAAACCCTGTCTCAAAAACCAAACAAAATAACAAAAAAAAAAAAAAAACCCACCATTTTTTTATGCTGCGTTTATTTAATTATGAAGAGATGTGCTGTATATGTTTCACCTTGCCTGCCTAAGGCACCTGATTGGTCTAATAAAGAGCCGAATGGTCAATAGCTAGGCAGAAGAGGGACAGGCGGGGCTGGTGGGCACAGAGAATAAGAAGAATGAGAGAAGGCTGGACAGTGGTGACGCACGCCTTTAATCCCAGCACTCGGGAGGCAGAGGCAGGCGGATCTCTGTGAATTTGAGGCCAGCCTGGTCTACAGAGTGAGATCCAGGACAGGCACCAAAACTACACAGAGAAACCCTGTCTCGAAACAACAACAACAACAAAAACAAACAAAAGAGACAGAGAGGAGAAGGAGGAGGAAAGTGTTGTAGAATATTATTTCAATGTCTTCCATTTGTTTGTGCTGTGGAACATTTGTTTAATGATGCAAAGATGTGTTGCATTTTTCTTATGTTGCATGTGTTTAGCTCTGTGAAGCTGTGTGACTGGGCCTGTCTAAAACACCTGATGGGGCAGAGCCAGGCGGATCTCTGTGAGTTCGAGGCCAGCCTGGGCTACCAAGTGAGTCCCAGGAAAGGCGCAAAGCTACACAGAGAAACCCTGTCTCGAAAAACCAAAAAAAAAAAAAGAAAAAAAAAATAAACACCTGATGGTCTAATAAAGAGCTGAAAGGCCAATAGGAAGGCAGGAGAAAGGATAGGCGGGGCTGGCAGGCAGACCAAATAAGTACGAGGGCTCAGGAGAAGAAGAGGGAGGAGTGAGAAAAGGAGGGAGGAGGACACCAGGGGCCAGCCCCCCAGCCCCCCAGCCCCCCAGCCCCCCAGCCCCCCAGCCCCCCAGCCCCCCGGCCCCCCCAGCCCCCCAGCCCCCCAGGCCCCAGCCCCCCAGCCGCCCAGCCGCCCAGCCCCCCAGCCCCCCAGTCATGGACTAAGAAGGGAAGAAAGATATATAGAATAAAGAGAGGTAAAAAGCCCAGAGGCAAAACCTAGAAGAAGAAAAATGAGTTAATTTAAGTTAGAAAAGTTAGCTAGAAACAAGCCAAGCTAAGGCCAGGCAGTCTTAAGTAAGAATAAGACTCTGTGTATTTATTTGGGAGCTGGGTGGCAGGCCCCCAACGAGTAAAAATAACCAGCTACAAAAGAGAGGGAGATGCCCACGGCCAGCCAGGCAGCTACCAGCCAGCAGGCACCGAGTAGGACACACAGAATGAAAGGTAAAAAGCCCCGAGGCAAAAGAAGATAAAGAGAAACAGGTTAATTTAAGTTATAAGAGCTAGCCAGAGGGCTGGAGAGATGGCTCAGCGGTTAGAGCACTGGCTGCTCTTCCAGAGGTCCTGAGTTCAATTCCCAGCAACCACATGGTGGCTCTCAACCATCTGTAATGAGATCTGGTGCCCTCTTCTGGCTGGTGGGGATATGTGCGGACAGAACACTAAGTACATTAAATAAATAAACAAAACTTAAAAAAAAAAAAAAAAAAGAGCTAGCCAGAAATGTGCCTAAGCTAGGCCAAGCATTCATAACTAACAATGAGTCTCCATGTCATGATTCGTGACCCGGTTGGTGGCCCAAAATAAAAAGCCTGGTACATAAGGTAAACTATGTACTTGGGATACTCATGGGCTGGGGTTTCCTTTTAGCATTGGCGGATTGTTCTGGAATTAGTAGATATGACATGGCGTCACACGGGCTTTGCTCATAATTGGAGGAGAGAAAACACTCCAGCCTCGGGGAGCCCTGAGGAGACATGTCTGTGCTTGGCCTTTCAGAGTGACTGGGTCTCGGTGGCCCTGCAGGGAGAAACCTGGGAGGAGGGCTTCAGTCAGGTGTGGGTGGCCGTGTGGGGGCTGCGGGCCAGGCACGTGCTGACACTGACCCTGCCCCAAAGGCCCTGGGCCACCCCAGATGGAGGCAGCTTCAGGCCCGAGCCACAGCGGGCGGGAGGGAGGAAGATAATGTCCGGGGGCTGGGGTGGAGACCAAAGTCGAGACATAGAGCACAGGATTGGGGGACAGAGACGGAGGTGAGAGACCGAGAGGCAGAGGGAAAGCACACGGGCAGGGGACACAGTCTCCCCTGGGCTGCAGGGTGGCCAGGGCCCAGTCCTGTGTGCCCTGTGGTTGCCGAGGGGGATGAAGCTGTGGCCTGCGCCAGGCTGTGACGTCTCCAGACAGGAAGTGGCACTCAGGAGCCTCTGTGCCCCTAAGGCACCTGCTGCCGAGTCCTGGAGAGCTGGGCAGATCTGGCTGTGGCACGTGGAGAGGGACTGTCGGCAAAAGGTCGCCTGATGCTTTTAAGGACACACCAGCCACACGTGGAACCAGCACCACAGCCTTGGCTACGTGGCCTGTGCGGGGACAACGTGTGCACCTGTCCCAGGTGGGATTTTCCCCTTTTTATGTGTGCACCTGAGTGTATGCACATCTCTCACGTGTGTGGGTGCACACGTGTGTGCAGGTGCGTGTGCATGAGGAAGCCAGAGACGGAAGCCAGATTGTCTTCCTCGGTGGGTCTTCACCTTGTATACAGACACAAGGTCCCTCACTTGAACCCAAAGTTCACGGACCTGACAAGTCCAGCTGGCCAGCTGGCCCGCCTCCTTTGTGTCAGGATGACAGGTGAGCCGCCGTGCGTGCCCGGCATTTACACAGATCTGGGCGTCCACACATGGGTCCCCACACGTGTGTGGTGAGACCTTTACCCACCTCCCAGCCTGTCTCAGGGAGTCTAAGTGAAAGTGATTGTTGTTTGATGAAAGGGGGGGTGTCCAGACACCCTACTGAAGGCTCCAGAGACCCCCACCACAGAAGTCCCGGGTGCGGGGGTCCTGTCACCTTCTGGGGTAGAAGGGACCCTGCAGATGGTCTCAAATTGAAGACCCTGATGGTGGGATCATCCTGGACCATCCTCAGTTCAGTGTCATCACAGGGTCCCCAGAGGGAGGCGTGAGGGTCGGAGACAAAGAGACAGGGAGACACCATGCTGTGAAATCTGGGCAAGGGGCCACAAGCCAAGGGGTACAGGACCTTCCCACACTGCTCCTGTGGGAAGAGGCTGACCTGCTTCCTCGGGTTTACCTCTGCTCAGATGCTGTACCCTGTCACTCACCTGACTCCCAGTACCCCCACCCCAAACGGGACACTCCAGTCTCAGCCCACAACTATTTCCAGCCCACATCTGCCATGCACCTCATGTGGGAACCTTAGAGATACAGATCTTCAAATATCTGCCATGGACAGCAACCAGCAACAGGGCTCGGGGACCCAGAGGGACTGGCAGAGTTTAACTGTCTCCAGCTGCTCCCAGCAGGCCTTGGGGAGCACCCGCCCTTAGTGCTCATCTGTGGTTTCTCTTAGGGCCCCCTCAGACAGTCGCATAGGTTGTCCACGGCAGAGGGTGCTTGGCCGAGGCACCTGTCATGGCTGCTCTTGGCTGTCAACTTGTCTACATCTGAAATGAACTACAGTCCAGAAATGGAGGGCAGCTGTGAGATTTTTTTTGGCTTGGTTTGAATTGGGTGAATCCATTCTGGTGGACCTTTGAAGTAGGCACACCTTTACTCTGCGCCTCACCTCCTGCTGGAAGCCCATAGAAGGACATGGCAGAAGGACACTCTCACCCGGCCTGCTTGCCCTGTCTTGCTGACACATCCATCCCTCCACTGGAATTAGAGTCTACTTGGGGATTCCAGTGTATGCTGAAGACGAGCTGAGACACCCAGCCTCATGAAGTGAGCAACTGCTGGATTCCTGGACCTTCTGTTCACAGGCAGCCATTGTTGGATTAGCCAGACCACAGCCTGTAAGTCATTCTAATAAATCCCACGTATGCATACATCTATCTGTCCATTCTGTAAGGTCTGTTACTCTAGGGAACCCTGACTAGTACAGCACCCCTCATTTTGCAGATGTCGATGTCCACCCCATCATCTTACTCAAGCCCTTCCTTCTCTGTTCAAGGTCCCTGTCACCGTCGTAACAGTAGCCTCCCAGACCTAGGCCCAGCTTTCTACAGATGAACTCCCAGGACCTCAGCCCAGCTGGAATTCATGTTTGCGGGGACAGGACTGATGTCACCAGGAGGGAGGACAGCGGCTGCTCGTGGCACATTCCCCACTCCAGGTAGGCAGCTCATGACAAGTTTATTTCATAGCAACATGGACATGTCTGGGGTTGGCAAGACTGGAGTGGCCGGTCCCTACAGAGCCCTCTTTCTGTCAGGTGATGGATCTGGGCTCTGCACCCATTGGTGCCCCCTGCAGAGGGGCTGAGGGGGTATAAGGGGGGATCCCTGGACCCACAGCTCCCAGGACATTACATCCTGCGGTGGGCAGCCTAATTCCCTCCTTGGATCCCAGAGCATTTGGCAACATCTTAAATACACAGAGACCCGGCAGAATTATCATTTCAGCCCCAGCCGAGAACCACCCCTAAGCAGAAAATAC